AACGCTTCAAAGACAAAAGAGCTTCACAGGTAAGGCTTATGCAGTCCACGCAAGCTGCACCTCCTACATGTGCGAGATTCTGTGGCTTACTGTCGCTTCGTAGGGAATGCAGAAGGTGTCCAGAGCTGGGGTTGAAGGTTTCTAGGGTTTGTAGGGTTTCGGGCTTGGAGTTTAGGGTTTGGGGTTTAGGGTTTAGGGTTTAGGGTTTTAGGGTTTAGGGTTTAGGGTTTAGGGTTTAGGGTTTACTTCCTAACTTGCATTCCCTGCTTCCGAACGGTAAGTTGGGGAAGACGGCGGCCAACAACCTGTGAACGACAGACATGGCTGCCGGGTAGTGCTTTCCCATGGCCGGCGGCGGCCGGTCAGTGCTAACCCTAAACCCTAAACCCTAAACCCTAGACTCTAAACCCTAAACCCTAGACCCTAAACCCTAAACCCTAAACCCTGAACCCTGAACCCTGAACCCTGAACCCTAAACCCTAAACCTTAAACCCTAAACCCTAAACCCTAAACCCTAACCCTAAACCCTAAACCCTAAAGTCTAAGCCCTAGCCTCAGGCCTCAGGCCTCCCTATCCCTTTGCCTAAGGGCCTACATGAAGTCTTCATCTGCGGACGGCGGCCAGACAAACCGAAGGAATCGGGCGGCAGGTTCAGGGTTCAGGGTTCAGGGTTCAGGGTTTAGGGTTTAGGGTTTAGGGTTTAGGGTTTAGGGTTTAGGGTTTAGGGTTTAGGGTTTAGGGTTTAGGGTTTAGGGTTTAGGGTTTAGGGTTGGGCTCACGATGGGGCACAAACTGGGGCATAATCGTAGCATTCTAGAGAATCGACAACCCTAAGCCCGAAAACCCTGAACCCTGAACCCCAACCTCTTTCGGCTTGGAGGGCCTCATTGCAGCCTGAGCCCTAAACCCGATGGATGCGTTTCGGTACATGTAAATACAGAAACAGTACACACACACATGTATATATATATATACACATATACACACATACTTACATGAACACACACACACACGTAATATATATATATATACGCACACACACCTGTATGTATGTATGTATGTATGTATGTATGTATGTATGTATGTATGTATGTATGTATGTATGTATGTATGTATGTATGTATTTATGTATGTATGTATGTATGTATGTATCTATGTATGTATGTATGTATGTATGTATGTATGTATGTATGTATGTATGTATGTATGTATGTATGTATGTATGTATGTATGTATGTATGTATGTGTGTATATATATATATATAGATATGTGTGTGTGTGTGTGCGTGCATGTGCATGTGCATGTGCATGTGCATGTGCATGTGCATGTGCATGTGTTTGTGTATGTGTGCACGTGTATGTGTATGTGTATGCACGTGTATGTGTATGTGTATGTGTATGTGTATGTGTATGTATGCATGAGTGTATGTATGTGCGTCTGTATTCGAGATAGCTGGCACTCGTAACTCGAACACTGATACCGGTCATGCAAAGTGACCGGAGTCGGACTTCGGCAGGCATCCTATCACGCTGATGATCCCATCTTGAATTCGGAGTGTAGATCTGGTGTCTCTAGCGGTGTCTAATGAGTTCTATTCTATCACCAATCTTGCCACGCGAGAATTTTTCCCACTTTGGTGATTGGACTTCTTCTCGCCATCTCGCTGTTATGGGTCGGGAAAAGTCTAGCCACAAAAATGGAGAGTTCATGTTTACAGGAGCAAGTGAACGGGCCCCGGCACGTATGAACACACCCTAAAACCCAAGCCATCAACCCCAAACCCTAAACCCCAAACCACAAACCCCAAACCCTAAACCCTAAACCCTACAGGCGGGCCGGAGAATCTGGGCAGGGTTTGTCTGACATGTCGTGGGAAATGCCGGGGCGAAGAACACCTGGCGGCAGTGGGGGGGCTGCCACGGGATATGAATTGAGGGTTTAGGGTCTTGATGTTAATCCAGAGAAAACCAAAACCTGCGCTGCTTTCGCTGGAAACACGTACTAGGGGTTGAGGTTTAAAACTCAAGGATGAAGGTTTAGGCAGCACTCTAATTCGATCATGAAGTGCTTGTGTGTTTAAGGCTTAGCATGTAGGGTTTTTGGTTGAGGATTTAGGGTTTAGGGTTAGGGCTTAGCGTTTTTGGAGGGATCTCATGTCGCGACGTCCTTCGGAGCCTGGTTCGTCCCGCTTTGTGCCCCTGGCGATAGCCAGTTTATTGGGCAAGCCCGTTGCGTAGCAGCTGGCCAGCTAAGGCGCCCCCAACCCCAAACCCCAAACCCCAAACCTTGGGATGTTCCCCTGAATACTGACAGCTCCTTAGTAGTGATTATGAAAGGGGGTCCTTTTGTAGGACTTAGTATTAGGGGGAACGTCCCAAACCCCAAACCCCATGTTGTTGCGAGCGTTTCAAGGGATTAAGACTTCTACCCCTAAGGTGGTACCCCAAGAGGTCTCTCTGAATATGACTCCTCATATGGCCCTTATTCTCCCTTAGGGATCGTTTTCCCCAAGCCCAAAGGGTACCACGTTAGGGGTCCAAGGTAGAAGTTTCTTGAAGTCTGGGTGTTGGAAACCCAGACCGATGTGCAGAAAGTCAAACGACTGGCGCCTGAACCAACCCGGCAGCCCCAAATCGCAAGCCCTAAGGACCCGAAATACCCGAAGTGTTATAAGGGTTTGGGGTTAATCCCTAAACCGTAAACCTTCAACCCTAAACCCAGGGTGAGCACCTTAGATACCCTACATACCAGAATTTTCCGGAACCGACAAAAAGCATGGGCTGACGAAGGCCATATACATATGTATGTATGTATATATATATATATGTAGATATTGTCATTTTTTATCGGGGAATATGGGACTTTACACCACGAACGAAGCCCTAAGCCCTAGATACCATAAGCCTAAAGCCCCGCACGATAACAAGTCTGACTTGGTTTGCCGCCCTAAGCCCTAAATCCTGACCCTACTGCACCTAGGACCCAGAGTAGGCGCTTGTTCCCTTGTGTTTGGGTTTAGGTTGCCTTAACGTCCGCTTTAAACCACAAAGCGCACCCTTTTTTATTCCTGGGTTGCTCTTGGGTCTAGATACCCTAAACCCGAGACCTCTATGGATACCCTAAACCCCTGAACCCCTGAACCCCTAAACCCCTAAAACCCTAATTAAACTCTAAACCCCTAAACCTCTAAACCCCTAAAACCCTAAACCCCTAAACCCCTAAACCCCTAAACCCCTAAACCCCTAAACCCCTAAACCCTTAAACCCCTAAACCCCTAAACCCTAAACCCTAAACCCGAAGCCTGCTGAGGATTCGGTTTCCCCGAAGCCCCAGACTGTGTGGTTCAGGCGACCTCCCGAGCAGGGACCGCACAAGGGACAAAAGAGGAGGAATGTTTGTGTAGGGTTTAGGGCTTAGGGCTTAGGGCTTGGGGCTTGGGGCTTAGGGCTTAGGGCTTAGGGTTTAGGGTTTACGGGTTTAGGGTTTGGGTTTAGGGCTAAACCCTGAAGCACCCGAAAGCAGCGCCCAGGCAATTAATTACCCTAAACCCTAAACCCTAAACCCTAAACCCTAAACCCTAAACCCTAAACCCTAAACCCTAAACCCTAAACCCTAAACCCTAAGGCCTAAACCCTAAACCCCAAACCCTAAACCCTAAACCCTAAACCCTAAACCCTAAACCCTAAACCCTAAACCCTAAACCCTAAGCCCTAAACCCTAAACCCTTAACCCTTAACCCTTAACCCTTAACCCTAAGCCCTAAACCCTAAACCCTAAACCCTAAACCCTAAACCCTTCCTAAACCCAAGATTGTGCTTTTGTCTAGGACCCAGGAGTTTTCAGCCAACCCCTTGGAAGTAGAGTCCGAATCTTGGCACGCAGGAACCGAGCCCTGAACCCTAGGCTCTGAAATCCTAAGCCCGATTCATAAATCCTATACCCTGGAAGCCTATGCCCTCCAAAACCCCTCCCCAAGACGTCAACCATTCCCAAAAGCCCGAAACCTCTAAACCCGAAACCCCGAACCCTATTGCAAACCTGAACCTTACCGCCCGCCGCCCCCAACCCCACCCCGCCGCGCCGCCCACCCGCCCCCCCCGCCGCCCCCCCGCCCCCCCCCCCCCCCCCCCCCCCCACCCCCCCCACGCCCCCCCGGGCCCCCCCCCCCCCCTCTACCCCCCCCCCCCCCCCCCCCCCCCCCCCCCCCCCCCCTCCCCCGCCCCGCCGGCGGCGGCCCCCCCCCCCCGCCCCCCCCACCCCACCGACCAACCCCAACCCGAAGCTCTAAACTCTAAACCTAAACCCCTCAAACCTAAAACCTTAAAATCCTAAAACCCAAACACCCAAAACAAAACCCCAAAACCCCAAAACCCCAAAACCCCAAAACCCCAAAACCCCAAAACCCCAAGACCCCAAAACCCCAAAACCCCAAAACCCTAAAACCCTAAAACCCTAAAACCCTAAAACCCTAAAAACCCTAAAACCCTAAAACCCTAAAACCCTAAAATCCTAAAACCCTAAAACCCTAAAACCCTAAACCCTAAACCCTAAGTAAACCCTGAACCCGAAACCCGAAACCTAACCTGACCCAAGTAGCCCTAGGCCCGCAAACCCCAAACAGGTTACACCCGTAACCCTAAACCCTGAGCACTCAACCCTAAAGCCTTCAGGCCTATACCCTATGAAGCCTAAACTTTCCTTAACTCTGAACCCTAAACCCTAAACTCTAAACTTTCTGCAGCTCTGAAGCCTTAAAAACCCTACACCCTGAACCCTACCCTAAATTTAAACCCTAAACCCTAAACCCTAAGCCCCAAACCCCAAACCCTAAACCCTAAACCCCAAACCCCAAACCCTAAACCCCAAACCCCAAACCCTCAACCCTCAACTCTAAACCCTAAACCCTAAACCCTAAACCCTAAACCCTAAACCCTAAACCCTAAACCCTAAGCCCTCACCTTTCTGGCCTTAAACCCCTCTAGGCCCAGTAATGCTGAGGCCAACGGCTGCGGCGACTCCTGGGCGCTGTCGCTCCACTTTGCCTTGCATGCCGGGCAGGAGGGGTTTAGGGTTTAGGGTTTAGGGTATAGGGTTTAGGGAGAGTATCCCCAACCTCTGAGCCCTAAAAGCACAAGCACCAAGATGTTATAGAAGCACCCTAAACCCTAAACCCCAAATCCCAATCCCTGAACCCCAAACCCCAAACCCCAAACCCCAAACCCCAAACCCTGAACCCTAAACCCTTTAGGGGGACCTTGGGACCTGCGTGGCAAGAGTTTGGCAGGGCCCCCCTTCCTTGCCAAGGGATAGGTCTGAATGTTTAGGGTTTAGGGTTTAGGGTTTAGGGTTTAGTGCTTAGGGTTTAGTGCTTAGGGTTTAGGGTTTAGGGTTTAGGGTTTAGGGCGGCGACCGTCTCCAAAAGCTGGGAGAAGCGGCGGCTTCCACATGCCGCCCGCCACCCTTCATCGTTGATCGGCCTTTAGTGGCCTCAGAGCCCTTTGTCGTCGCTTTCGGCTGCAACGACAAGATGGTTGAGCATGTTCGGGTTCAGGGTTTAGGGTTTAGGGTTTAGGGTTTAGGGTTTAGGGTTTAGGGTTTAGGGTTCATCACCGATGTGGAAACTGCTGTGCTCGCACATGACGACCCTGTCACACCTTCACGCGGAGTTCTTTCATCGCTGCGCCATGGAAGCCCACAAGACCAGTGGATCTTCTCGACGCGGGCCTCGTGGGGAACATCTTGGCCGCATTCCGTTAGGGTGTAGGGTTTAGGGTTTAGGGTTTATGGTGTTAGGGTTCAGGGTTCAGGGTTCAGGGTTCAGGGTTTAGGGTTTAGGGTTTAGGGTTGAGGGTTGAGGGTTGAGGGTTTAGGGTTTAGGGTTTAGGTTTAGGGTTTAGGGTTTAGGGTTACCCTGCAACTCTGAACCCCAAACCCGAAACCCCAAGCCCTCTCGTTTCCCTGTCGGCGAATGTCAGTCTTGGAAAAGGCTTTATGGGCATAATGCCTCGAAGCCGAATGTGACTGGATGATACTTAGGTGCATCTAACCATCTGGATGCTTACAGCATGGTTCGAGGGTTTTGGGTTTGAGAAGTAAATCCTAAGCATGATTCAATTGTATTACTTCAAGGCAAAACGAAACGACCGAAGGCACTGGAGATGCGGGCGTGGAGGGGTTGAAGACCCGTATGCCGAAAAAACCAAACTTTCCTAAGCCCCCAAACCGTGAACACGTCAGCTCAAGACTCGAGCGAGAGAGAGCGAGGGAGAGGGAGAGGGAGAGGGAGAGGGAGAGGGAGAGGGCGAGGGGGAGGGGGAGGGGGAGGGAGAGGGAGAGGGAGAGGGAGAGGGAGGGGAGAGGGAGAGGGAGAGGGGAGAGGGAGAGGGAGAGGGAGAGGGAGAGGGAGAGGGAGAGGGAGCGCGGGAGAGGCTGCATGTGGGACTGGCGCGCGTCATGTGGGGGCTGGGGTGGGCGGGGGGGAGGGGGGGCGCGCAATCCCTCAAACCGGAACGAAAGAGAGAGATACAGACAGAGAGAGAGAGAGAGAGAGAGAGAGAGACAGAGAGAGAGGGGGGGGGGGGGACCGGGAGAGGAGGGGGGGGGGGGGGGGGGAGGAGTTGCCTCACGAACAATGGTTAAACCTTAAACCCCTTAACGTCCAAAGTCCAATCCGAATTCGACCTCTCACGGTGCAGGGGTTGTCGCATGCTCAGGGTGAATGGGTGAATGGGGCCGAAAGCCTCAACTGCTAATACCCTACCCTAAACCCTCAACCCTCAACCCTCAACCCTCAATCCTCAACCCTCAACCCTCAACCCTCAACCCTCAACCCTAAACCCTAAACCCTAAACCCTAAACCCTAAACCCTAAACCCTGAACCCTGAACCCTGAACCCTGAACCCTAAACCCTAAACCCTAAACCCCAAACCCAGAAAACCCCGAAGAGCCTGCTGCCAGGCGGAAGCCCGCGCACTACGGGCCGTGGCCTATGCCAGCGACGCGGCGCAGGCCGGGCAGCCTTGACCCCACTCGAGCATGTAGAAGGTTTAGGGTTTAGGGTTTAGGGTTTAGGTTTAGGGTTTGGGTTTAGGGTTTAGGGTTTAGGGTTTAGGGTTTAGGGTTTAGGGTTTAGGGTTTAGGGTTTAGGGTTTAGGGTTTAGGGTTTAGGGTTTAGGGTTTAGGGTTTACGTTTAGGGTTTAGGGTTTAGGGTTCAGGGTTTAGGGTTTAGGGTTTAGGGTTCAGGGTTTCAGGGTTTAGGGTTTAGGGTTTAGGGTTTTAAGTTTTGGGTTTTGGGTTTAGGGTTTAGGGTTTAGGGTTGCAGGGTTTCGGGGTTTCGGGGTTTAGGGTTTCGAGTTTGACTAGGGGGATCAGAGGCTCAGGGTGCAGGACTTTAGGGGGTTTAGGGCTTCTAGGGTTTGGTTTAGGCTTCATGGCTTAGGGTTTAGGGTGTAGGGTTTAGGGTTTAGGGTTTAGGGAAGCCCTTGCAGTCCTTTTAAGAAAATACCCCCCACAAGCGAACATTGGAAAGCTCAACCCAACCCACCTTGGGTCCTGAACCCTAACTCCCTATAGCCTGAGCCTTAAATCCTAGGCTGCCCAGTAGTACCCTTATTCCCTTTTTGGGGGGTTTAGGTTCCCTTATAAACCCCTTTAAGCAAAAAGGGGCACCCTTTTTAAGCCTAGGTTACTGGGCAGCCTAGAATCCTAAGCCGTGCTATTGCCAAATTGCCACAACCTATAAAGCCCCCCCAAGCTTGATGCTTAAACCCCCAACCAAAACGCTATTCGCCCTCAAGCCCTAAACCCTAAGCCCTAAGCCCTGAGACCACTACCCGCAATCCCCAAACCACGAAGTCCCCAATAGTTGGATTGACGAACGGCCAAAGCCCTAAACCCGAAACCCTAAACCTTCAAGCATAAACCCTCAACCCTAAAGCCTGGACCCTAACCCCCTATAGCCCTGAAGTTTGAAACCCTAATTAAACCCTGAACCCTGAACCCTCAACCCTCAACCCTAAACCCTAAACCCTAAACCCTAAACCCGGGAGGCTTGGCCGATGGTGCTGCAGGTGCTTAGCCATTTCCGCAGGCGACTGGGAGGAGGGCTTTCAAGCGGGTTAGAGCTTTAAGTCTCTAACCCTGAACCCCTGAACCCTATACCCTAAACCCCTAAACCCTTAACCCCTTTACCCCCTCTACCCTAAACCCTAAACCCCAAAAAAGTCCCTAAACACGAAAAGCAACCCTGAATAACCCTAGAAACCCCAAACAACCCTAAATAACCCTAAACCCAGGTGCCCCCCAAGCATAAAGAACACGTAAACTAGAACTCTTTGCCTTCATTGAGGTTGGGGAGGAAACCAGGGATCGGTGTGTGGGTTTAGGGTGCAGGGGTTGAGGGTTGAGGGTTTAGTTTAGGGGTTTAGGGTTTAGGGTTTAGGGTTTAGGGTTTAGGGTTTAGGGTTTAGGGTTTAGGGTTTAGGGTTTAGGGTTTGGGGTTTGGGGTTTGGGGTTTGGGGTTTAGAGTTTGATGGTTAGGGGGTTTGGGGTTTCGGGTTCCCAGGGTTCCCGCGCAGGTGGAAGTTGTCACCCGACGGGCGCGTGTGGAACCTGGCGATGAGATCCCGCACGGAGGGTGCGCTGGCACCCTGGCATCAAAAGGTTAGCGGTTTGCGGTTTAGGGTTTAGGGTTTAGGGTTTAGGGTTTAGGGTTTAGGGTTTAGGGCTCCGGGTTCTTAGGCTGAAAGCCTTTTACTAGGACCCAGAGTAGGTTCTTATTCCCCTTTTCTTTGAAGTTTTGGGTTCCCTTGTAACCCAAAAAGGGCAACTGTTGGTCCCCTAAACCCTAAACCCTAAACCCTAAACCCTAAACCCTAAACCCTAAACCCTAAACCCTAAACCCTAAACCCTAACGCTACGTCTGGTTTACGGTGTTCATACCTTGGGGTTCAGGCAGCTGGGCCTTCAGGACTTTGGCGCGCTGGGCGGGTCGAAATAGGAGATCCTGGGGAGGAGCGAACCTTTAACTTAACGGCTTATGAAGCCATTAGCAGCTCTCAACCCTGCATCTTACACCCCAAGCCCTGTAGGGTTTAGCAGCTCTCAACCCTGTAGGGCTGAAACCCTAAACCCTGTAGGGCTGAGCCATAGGCACGACTGCTGCTGTGGGCGTGGAGTTGTTGAAGCTCCCAATCCCGAACCCATTCCCGTGCCCCAAGACCTGATGGAGTAGTCCGTGAACCCTAAACCCTACATCTTGTTCCCAAAAACCCTAAACCCTAAAGCCTAAACCCTAAAGTGCCGAAAAGATTGTCCCAACAGCCTTCTATGGTGGTCTTTGACCCCCAAAATCCTAACGAACAGAGTTTTAATGAAAGACTTAGGGCCTTCGGGTAAGTCCCGGAAAACTAAACCCTAAACCCTAAACCCTAAACCCTAAACCCTAAACCCTAAGCCCTCCCTGCAGGAGCTCTTTCACGAGCTGCGCCGCGCAGGGGGCGTCTCCCCTGAGAGCTGGACGGCTGCTCTGGGCCTCCCGGGTTCCAGTTTAGGGGAGTTTAGGGTTTAGGGTTTAGGGCTTAAGGCTTAGGGCTTAGGGCTTTAGAGTTTAGGGGTTCAGTGTTCAGGGATTTGGGTCTCAGGGTCGACGGGCTGACGTGTTTGAGGTCTTGGGTACTTAGGGTTTTAGGGTTAAGTTTAGGGTTTAGGGTTTAGGGTTTAGGGTTTAGGGTTTAGGGTTTAGGGTTTAGGGTTTAGGGTTTAGGGTTTAGGGTTTAGGGTTTAGAATTCTGGGTTTGCTTAGGAGTCTGACATGAAAGGGGTTGAGGGCTCTTCAGCACCAGGGGCCGTGACCAAAGCTGTCGCCTGGCAAAGCAGCTACGATATCCTGTGCCTTGGAAGCATCATGGTTTCGGGCTTCGGGCTGAATAAACCCTAAACCCTAAACCCTAAACCCTAAACCCTAAACCCTAAACCCTAAACCCTAAACCCTAAACCCTAAACCCTACACCCTAAACCCTAAACCCTAAAACCCTAAACCCCTAAACCCTAAACCCTAAACCCTAAACCCTGAACCCTGAACCCTGAACCCTGAACCCTGAACCCTGAACCCTGAACCCTGAACCCTGAACCCTAAACCCTAAACCCTAAACCCTATACTGTACCCTATACCCGAAACCCTAAACGCTAAACCCTGAACCCTGAACCCGAAACCCTAAACCCTATAAACCCTAAACCCTTGTCATCGAAGGCTTCAAGCCTGTGCTTGCCCGAAGTATCAGCCTGGTGTAGGGTTTATTTAGGGTTTAGGGTTTAGGGTTTAGGGTTTAGGGTTTAGGGTTTAGGGTTTAGGGTTTAGGGTTTAGGGTTTAGGGTTTAGGGTTTAGGGTTTAGGGTTTAGGGTTTAGGGTTCCCATTCCACCTAGAACGTCCTAGTTTTTTGGGTCCTTCTCCACCCATGGTATCTCACGTTTACATGTAAGGTTCCTACAAGGGCCCACATGAGGGCTGAACCCTAAGCCCTACGCCCGGAACCCATACTTCTAACACCAAAACCCTAAACCCTGAACCCTAAACCCCAAACCCCAAACCTCAAACCCTAAACCCTAAACCCTAAACCCTAAACCCTAAACCCTAAACCCTAAACCCTAAACCCTAAACCCTAAACCCTAAACCCTTGCCCTCCAGGCTCCAGATGCCCTGCGCTCGACTCAGTCCTCCCGCCTTTGCCTTGGAGAGGTTGGTCTTACAAGGCTGGAGTTTAGGGTTTAGGGTTTAGGGTTTAGGGTTTGGGGTTTGGGGTTTGGGGTTTGGGGTTTAGGGTTTAGGGTTGGGGGTTTACAGGGTTTACAGGGTTTACAGGGTTTACAGGGTTTACAGGTTTTACAGGGTTTACAGGGTGTACAGGGTTTACAGGGTTACAGGTTACAGGGTTACAGGGATTTGGTTTGACGGTTACACGGCTACAGGGTTACAGGGTTTAGGGTTTTGGGTTTGGGTTTACAGGGTTACAGGGTTCAGGGTTTGGGTTTAGGGTTTACATTGTTCAGGGGTTGCAGGGTTTAGGGTCTAGGGTTTCGGGCTTAGGGTCTCAGATTCCCTATTGGCATCTGTACACAATTATTTCCCTGAGGCTTTAAAGCTCTCGGGTTCTGGTACAGTTTTGGGCTTTAGGGTGTAGGGTTTCGGGTTTAGGGCTTAGGGATACTTCTCTTGAAGGTTCTTGCGCCGGCACATGAACATTCGGCTCCCTGAGGTTTGGGGCTGGATGCGACACCCTATCACCCTGAGCCGCTAAAAGCCTCGTGCACGTAGGACCTTCTGTAGGACCCTTTTAGGGTCTGTGCAAGAATCCTGTTCTGGCTACCTAATGAGTAGGGCAATAGCATTCATAGTCATATGAGGCTGAACCCGAAAGCCCAGGGCCAGGGAAGGCCTCGAAGGCCTCCTAAGCCCTGGAAGCCCTGTGCGCCCTAAACCCTAAGCCGCAAGCCCCAAACCACCCTAAACCCCAAACCCCAAACCTCAAACCCTCAGCCCTAAACCCCCGACCCTAAACCCCAAACCCTGAACCCCAAACCCTGAACCCCAACCCCCCCCCCCCCCCCCCCCCGCCCCCAAACCCTAACCCTAAACCCTAAGCCCTAAACCCCAAACCCTAAGCCCTAAGCCCCAAACCCGATAAACCCTAAGCCCAACCCTAAACCCCAAACACCAAAAACCTAAGCCCCCCAAAACCCCCCGGAGGTCCTGAGCCAGGCTGGCCTCGTGCAGCCGCGCTGCTGACACGCCTGCGTGGTCTGGAGACTCCTCGGTTTTGTCGCACTAAGCCCTGAAACCCCTGATTTCTTAAATCCAAAACCCTTAAACCCTGAAACCCTTAAACCCTAAACTGTTAGTTGGGGTTTTGGTGTTGATGTTTAAAGGTTTCAGATAGACGCAATTCTTCTCAAACTGTGGTCCCTACGGAGCCTTCTCGTTTTTTTCTTAAAGGGCCCATCGTTTGAACCTCCGACATGCTTTTGAGGTTTAGTGGGGTTTCAGGGTTTTTGCTGGGCTTTAGGGTTAGGGTTTAGGGTTTAGGGTCCGGAAATCAGGGTTTAGGGTTTGGCTTTTTTATACTCTTTGGGGCTTTAGTTTGTTCAATGGTCTTCGGTTGTTGGGCTAAAACCCTGAACCCTAAACCCGAATCTTGCAGTTCAGAAAACCCTAAACCCTAAACCCTAAACCCTAAACCCTAAACCCTAAACCCTAAACCCTAAACCCTAAACCCTAAACCCTAAAGCCAGAGCCCACACTTCACCGGCAAGGAGCCCGGACTTGGGGCCGCTGCACGCCCGGAGCCCAGTGAGGGCCTGTTCGATTCTGGGAGTGCTTTGAGGGTTTAGGGTTTGGGGTTTAGGGGTTTAGGGTAGGGGTTTAGGGGTTTAGGGTTTAGGGTTTCGGGTTTAGGGTTTAGGGTTTGGGGTTTAGGGTTCAGGGGATGCTGTGTAGGTGAGCTTTTTCGCTACCTGGAGCCCGAGACCCTACACCCTGACAGGCCCAAGGGTTTAGGGTCCAAAGCAGCCCCGCCCAGTTGCCAGGCTAACGGTTGCCATAAGCCCTACTATCCCGAGAAGCCCTATAAAGCCTACAAACCGCACAAGCCCGATAAACTCCACAAACCTTTAAAAGACCCTAAACCCTAAACCCTAAACCCTAAACCCTAAACCCTGAACCCTGAACCCTTCAAACCCTGCAGACCCTATAAACCCTCAGTCCCAAGCCTCGCAAGACCTGCGCAGGTCTCAAGGCCGAGCAGCTCGGGGGGACCGTGGCATGGGAGGCGACCCTGTGTCGACTGAGGTTGCCGCGGTGTAGGGTTTAGGGTTTAGGGTTTAAGGTTTAGGGTTTAGGGTTTTAGGGTTTAGGGCTTAGGGTTGCTGGGACCTAAGGGTTTTTGGGCTGTTTGTACGGTTTTAGGGTTCAGGGGTCAGGCTGTGAGACCCTAAGCCCGAAACCTTAAACTCCTAAACCGTGCTCAGCCTCTGAAAGGTTTAGGGTTCATTCTTCAGGGTCTAGGGTTTAGGGCCTGCAAGACGAGATTTTTTGGGATAGGGGTCTTAGGGTTTGGGGAACAAGGCTTAATTAGAGCGTTTATGGGGCTTTCGGGTTTAAGGCTCTAGGGCTTCAGGGTTATGGGAGGTTTAGGAGGGTTTAGGGTTTAGGGTTTAGGGTTGTTTAGGATGTGGGGTTTTGGAGAGTACGTGGGGTGTGTGGGGGGGTTTCACACTTGCAGAGCTCTTCTTTGCAAATTTGGCTTTGCCTGGTTTAGGGTTTAGGGTTTAGGGTTTTAGGGTTTAGGGTTTAGGGTTTAGGGAAGATCCTCCTCATAGATTTGTTAAGTTTTTCGACGCTTTTGAAACTGCGTACACCTACACCCTCCCCGATTGGTGCGATTTGGACAAGGACCGCTGTATGCAGACATGCCCAAAGGGATCCGAACCCTAAACCCTAAACCCTAAACCCTAAACCCTAAACCCTAAACCCTGAAGCCTGAAGCCTAAAGCCTAAAGCCTTAAGCCTAAAGCCTAAAGCCTAAAGCCTAAAGCCTAAAGCCTAAAGCCTAAAGCCTAAAGCCTAAAGCCTAAAGCCTAAAGCCTAAAGCCTAAACCTCAACCCGCAAACCCTAAACCCTAAACCCTAAACCCCAACCCTAAACCCTGAACCCAACTCCGGACCCCCCCCCCCCCCCCCCCCCACCTCCCCCCCCCACTCCCCCCCCCACTCCCCCTCCACTCCCCCCCCACTAACCCCCCACTCCCCCCCCCATGCATGATCATGATTGCTCATCCCAGGGAGAAAGATGCTCAGGCGTCTCAATGGTGGCGCACCCTAAACCCTAAACCCTAAACCCTAAACCCTAAACCCTAAACCCTAAACCCTAAACCCTAAACCCTAAAGGAGGCCAAGTGCCGCCTCGCTGGCAAGCCTTCGACCGGGGGCTCTCGAAGCTCAGTTTCGGTGAAGCCCTGTCACCCTCCTCTTCGCAGACCAAATTCCTCTCTGGATCAAGGCGCCGGCCGAGAAAAAGAACTGTTCGCAAAGTGGGAACGCCAAGTTTGAACGCAAACCCACAAGCCAAGACTTCCCTTCGGCAGAGCGGTTTCGCATCACCTGCGAGGCCAGACAGGTCGTCTTGAACCATGGCTCTGACGGTGAGCCCGCAGCCTCTCGCTAAAACCCTAAACCCTAAACCCTAAGCCCTAAACCCTAAACCCTAAAACCCTCAACCCTAAAACCCCAAATCCTTAAACCCTAAGTTCAAGGTTCAGGAGTTTAGGCTCGAGGGTTGCTCCTCGTAAACCTGTAAACCTGGCATCCTGTCAGCTCTACTTCAAGTGCTGTACATTGCGGGGAACATAGATGCGGGTTTAGGGTTTAGGGTTTAGGTTTAGGGTTTAGGGTTTAGGGTTTAGGGTTTAGGGTTTAGGGTTTTATTGTGGGGAGGATAGCTGGGTGCTAAGGGTATACCTTAACATGGCAGCCCAGGTACCCTTACCCTCTTTTTCGCTATGGGTTCCCTTATCAAGTAACTAACCCAAGAAAGGGTGCTCATATTGTAATATGGTTACTGGGCTACTAAGTTGAAGAACTTAAAAGCCCTAAACCCCTAAACCCCTAAACCCCTAAACCCTGAAGCTTGCGCTTGCCTTCTGCAGGCTCAGCTCATGATCGTTGCGAGGCTTGCGGCGAGGGGATATGACGGCAGACACCCGCACCTGAATTGAATGCAGAGTATCGGCAGGATTTCCGCGAGTCTTGGGATCACAGCCATTTGGAGTTTCGGTAAACCCCCTAAACCCTAAACCCTAAACCCTAAACCCTAAACCCTAAACCCTAAACTTGGCAAGCCCTATACACCCTACAAGTTAGGGATGAAGGATTCCCGTCGGTCGTAAACCCACCGCGAAGCCAAAGAAGACCCAAACCCTAGCGGAGAGGAATCCGGCTGATGTGCCATAGAACCTTTGGTAGCTGAATGAGTACACTGTACACTTCTTGGGATACGATAATCCCCTATAGAACTGAAAGTGGACACTGTTATGGGGCTTATGAACTCAGCAACTCAGGAACACAGAACGACGGAAGACCGAAGGCTTCAGGCCGAGGAAGTTTTTTTTTGAGCTTGGTCGAACGCTACAGCCTCTGCGGCGAGAAGGTCTGAGCGTGTCGTGAAGGACTACCAGTCAAGCCTGGAGTCTCCGATGTTCCAGGATCATGGAGCACCCTAAACCCTAAACCCCAAACCCTGAAGCCTAAACCCTAAACCCTAAGCCGCCTTGTCTGTGTTCAGTGCGGACGATCAAGGGTGTGCACTTCGGTCGCGCGAGCCGTCCCTCTGCGCCGACGATGGGGGGAGAAGACGGGGTCTGCCCCACAGTCTGCAGTCCAACATCTGGGTCTGACCGGCCTATTTTGGTGGTGGCGGTCGGGGGGGGGGGCGTTGTTCACGGCTAAACCTCCAACTCCAACCAGTAAACCCTTAATCCCGAAAGCCTCACGCTTACGGCACTTACGGCTTAGGGCTTAGGAGTTCGGAGTGAGGTACAACGCCACAACAGACATGGCAGTTGGCACCCCCGCAAGATTGAACCTTCAGCTCCACCGCAGCCCTCGTGGTGGCAGGAGCGGGGAGGTGGGAGGTTGCGCAGGGTTTAGGGTTTAGGGTTTAGGGTTTCAAAGCCGAACGCCTGACGCTTAGGGCTTGAGGCGAAGAGTTCGGCGGGATGTAGAATTTGGGATGTTCAGGCTTGAAAAGGGCGAACTAAGCCCTAAACCCTAAACCCTAAACCCTCCTCAAGGTACAACGCAATAAATGACATGGCGATCACGGAGTGGCACTTCCAAGCTTCCTTATGTTGACACGCTGGCAAAGGGTTTAGGGTTTAGGGTTTAGGGTTTAGGGTTTAGGGTTTAGGGTTTAGGGTTTAGGGCTTAGTTCGCCCTTTTGGCCCTGAACCCTGAAACCGCCAAATCGCTTGAGCCCAACACCATGAAACCATAAGCCCTCAAACCCTGAATCCGCAAACCCCAAGTTCTTAAATCCTAAAACCCTCAACCCCCCAAGCCCCCTACAAAGGCCGCAAGCCTCAAGTAAACCCCTAAACCCTAAACCCTAAGCTCTACACCCTAAACCCTAAACCTTGAATAAAACCCTCAGGTACCTCGGCCTGGTACCTTGGATGCGATGAGACGTCGGCGGGGGTTTGGGCGTTTAGGGTCGAGGGGGCTAGAGTTTAGGGTTTAGGGTTTAGGGTTTAGGGTTTAGGGTTTAGGGTTTTCAGAATTCAGAATTCCGGGGTTGAGGGCTAGACAGACAGGGATTTGCGGGGTCGTGGGGTCAATTTGCAAGGTTTGATGCGGGTCTGAAGGACCCTAAAACCTCCGCAACCCTAAGCCCTAGACCCTAAACACCCTGAACCCTGCACCCTAGACCGTACTTACTTTAAGCCCTCATCCTTAAACCCAAACCGTACCCAAAATCCTGAAACCCAAGCCCTAACCGTAACTACCCAAACCCACAATTCCCAAAACCCTAAACCCTAAACCCCCAAACCCTGCACAACTACCCTAAATCCCCAAATACTCCAAGCCCTAACTTCCCAAAACCCTACACCTAAGGGACTGTGTACCCTAAACCCTAAACCCTAAACCCTAAACCCTAAACCCTAACTACCCTACACCCTAAACCCTAACTACCCTACACCCTAGCTACCCTACACCCTACACCCTAAACCCTAAACCCCAAACCCTAAACCCTAAACCCTAAACCCTAAACCCTAAACCCTAAACCCTAAACCCTAAACCCTAAACCCTAAACTACCCTACACCCTGGACCGAGGCGTCAGTTCTCCGCTGCAAGGCTGCCTTCCTGTGGGAGTGGGCCCTGCTCCTGCAGCAGCAGCTCGAGGTGGCTCTGGGTGGGGTTTAGGGTTTAGGGTTTAGGGTTTCGGGTTTAGGGTTTAGGGTTTAGGGTTTATAGGATTTAGGGTTTATAGGATTTAGGGTTTGGGGTTTAGGGTTTGGGGTTTGGGGTTTGGGGTTTGGGGGTGAGAGGGGGGGGGGGGAGGTGAAGCGATTAGGGCCCCTAAGCTTTAGGGTTTTGGTTTTGCAAGTTTCACGGGATCCTACTCAAGTTTTTTTTGGTTCAACCTTTTTTCAGGTGGCTTAAAAGGGCAAAGGGGGGGTTTGGGGTTCAGGGTTTAAGGTTTTGGGGTTCAGGGTCTAAGGTTCAGGGTTGGGATGTTCCCCCTTGTACGAACAGTCCTTAATGGGGATTATAGTACCTCCTTCTTTAATCCCTATTAAGGATTGTTAGTATAAGGGAGAACATCCCAAGTTGAGGGTTCAGGGAAGTTTGGGGTTAAGGAAGTCTGGGGTGGGGTGTGGGTGTTGGGGTTCGGTGGACCTGGGGTTCGGGCTTTCGAGCGTTTTCTTGAGGCTCGTTGAGTTTAGGGTTTAGGGTTTAAGGGCCTCCGTCCCACGTGACCGCATCCCCGAGTTTAGGGTTAGGGTTCCGGGAACGGTGCTACTCACCTTACAGTGGGAGCAACCTTCCGGCCAGAGCTGCTGGGTGCGGGTTGAACTTGGCTTCTGCCTATGTAGCGTCCCCAAGCCCAAACCTGAAACCCTCACCCCCAAGAACTTAGCCCTAAACCCCCAACCCCTAACACCCTAACACCCTAAACCCTAAACCTTAAACCCTAAACCCCAAACCCCAAACCCTAAACCTAAACCCTATGCGAAGACCCCGAGACAGGACGACTCTGCGTCTGCCCAGTCGGACGACGCCCTGGACTTTCGGAGGACGGCCCAGGCTTAGCTTGCTGCATTCTGGGTTTAGGGTTTAGGGTGTAGGGTTTAGGGTTTAGGGTGTTTATTCCCGCTGCACAGGGCCTGTTCTGATGTTGGGGGACACCCTCTCGCGACGATACGAACTCGAGTTCAACCCTGACCTGGAATGCCTGAACCCTAAGCCCTAAACCCTAAACTCTAAACCCTAAACTCTAAACCCTGAACCCTGAACCCCTAACCTATGGCCGCGTTGAAAGACAACTTCTTTCATCTTACGCTGCCGATTCTGTTTTTTTTGAATCGCCTCAACGAGGCTGCGCAGCCTCTTTTGAGACTCCGGCATGCGAAGTGCGAAGTGCAAAGTGCAAAGTTTCACCAGGGCTGAGTATTGGTTCAGGGTTTTAATTTGAGAGTTAAGGGTTCAGGAGATCAATATTTAGGGCTTTTGGAGGTTTGCTGAGCCCCAAACCCTACAGCGCAGTTAGGGTTTGGCTGCAAGGACGGCTCGCAACGCCGCCATCGCGTGCGTGGGTCGCGCTTGGCGTGCCTCGCCTTCCAAGTTCTCTCCTGGAATCGCGAGGTTCCTCAAATTCTCGTTTAGGGTTCAGGGTTTGGGGCTTAGGGTGCAGGGTTCAGGGTTTAGGGTTTAGGTTTCAGGGTTGAGGGTTCAGGGTTTGGTTCTCAGGGTTTAGGGTTCAGGGTTTGGGGTTTGGGGTTTAGGTTCAGGGTTTAGGGTTTACGTATCGAAGTTCAGGGTTTAGGGTTCGGAGTTCAGGGTTTAGGGATCAAGGTTTAGGGTTGGGTCCTGCGCAAAAAAATCTCAACAGAGACAGGGAACCCTTCGTAATTCACCTTCCAGCAGGGCCAGCTGGGCGAGGTCCGAGCCACACTGAACCCCCAAACCCTAAACCCTAAACCCTAAACCCTAAACCCTAAACCCTAAACCCTAAACCCTAAACCCTAAACCCTAAACCCTAAACCCTTAACCCTAAACCCTAAACCCTAAACCCCACACCCTGAGCCCCCCCCAACCCCACGTCAAGCTCCCCAAGTCACCCAAATTCTGAGCAGTCAACAATTGCAAGGCTTCACACCAAGAACGCGAAGCCCCTAATCCCTAAACCCTAACCCCAAATCCCAAGCCCAAGACTTCAACTTGCCTTACACCCAAGATGCTTGTTTGGGCAAGCGCCTACACCCTAAATGAACTCAATCTGACATGATCCAAAAATATCCAAAAGACACCCCAAAACTGGCTGGTTCTTCGTAGGGAATGAGGGAATGAGGCACCCTAAAGAAGTCCACCAACCGCCATTTGAAATCTCGGGCCGCCTACTTGAAGCCTACCCTAAACCCTAAACCCTAAACCCTAAACCCTAAACCCTAAACCCTAAACCCTAAACCCTAAACCCTACTACATCTTCATCGGCTCAACTTCTGCTGCACGCCGGCCGGCAGCAATGATGGCTCAAGGCCATCATCGCTAGCTGTTGCAGGGTTGCCTTCTAGAAGTTAGTAGGGTTTAGGGTTTAGGGTTTAGGGTTTAGGGTTTAGGGTTTAGGGTTTAGGGTTATACAAGTCATACCCCAAACCTTAAACCCTACTCCTACTCCCTGGTTCCGAAGCCTACAGTTCTCCGTCCAACAGAGTCTCAAGGGTTCGGAAACTCAGGGCCTGCCAGGGTTAGGGTCTGCAGGGTTGATGCGCATGGGTTTAGGGGTGTTCCGGGATGTAGCTGACCATCCAAGATGAGAAGCTCATGAGACGGCTGCGCTGCCTAGCTTTCTGGGCGCTCTGCCTTTGCGGCGCCCTCGTCTTATGTCTTGGCTGGGGATGAAGAGTCTCAGTAGCTGAGGTGGGGGGATGCCATGTTCGGCGCCCAAGCGCGCGTAGCCCTGTAAGCCGTAAATCCTAGAATTCCTCAAACCCCAGGGTGGAACCCTCAACCTTCTCAACCTTAAGACCAAATCTCCTACCTTAACACCCTCCACCGCCTCAACATTGCGCATGATAATCCCCAAATCTCAAATCTTGAGCCCTCAAGCACTTAAACTGGGATCCCAACGCACCCTATCTAAGGATTGTACCTTAAAATATACACGGGGACCCAGAATGGGAGGTTTCTACACTAAGGACTAGAGTGTACAAGGGGTACCCCAATTTTGGCAAGTGTTCATATAAAAGATGGGGCGTATATCCTTCAATTAAGGGTGTGAGGGCATTTTCGGCCCTCTTTTAAAGACGGAACGAGGGAAATACGTACCTTGTATCATAAACTTATCACTGTACTTATAACCATCTTAGGGCACTACAGGGGCTTCTAAGTGGGTTGTAAGTACAGTTATAGTTGGTTACCCTAAACCTCCACCCTAAACCCTAAACCCTTAAGTAACACGATCACAAACCTCTTTCAGAGGCTCCTTTAGAGGTTTAGGGTTTAGGGTTTAGAGGCAGGGTTTAGGGTTTGGGTTTAGGGTTGAGGGTTGAGGGTTGAGGGTTGAGGGTTTAGGGTTTAGGGTTTAGGGTTTAGGGTTTAGGTTTAGGGTTTAGGGAAGGTGGCAACCCCTTGGGGGCACGAGATCCCTTCCCTTTGTGGGCTCCCCCCACGCATGAGCCTTAAAGGGTATCGAATTGCCTACATCCTCCGCCCAAAAGCAGCAGGGTTTAGGGTTTAGGGTTTAGGGTTTAGGGTTTAGGGTTTAGGGTTTAGGGTTTAGGGTTTCGGGTGAAAACTGCAACAGCCGGCCCCAAACCCCTACACTCCCATTTCGGCTTCCAAGGCGCAGCTGATCTGGCGGTCGTCCGGCCATTTTCCAGCGACGATGAAATTCAGCGCATGGAGGAGGTCGAGGGAGAAGGGCTGGCCGAAACACCCAGACGCAATCTTATATGGGGGTTTCCGAAATTAGGGTTTAGGGTTTAGGGTTTGGGGTTTAGGGTTTAGGGTTTAGGGGTTTCCGAAATTAGGGTACCTTATTGGGGGTCCTTATCCCGAAGGGTCCATGGACCTAAATATTGAATACTTAGGCCTTTAAAAGTACTTCCTATATGGCGACTTTGGGGCCCAAGTATATAATAATGAGGTACATGGACCCTTAGGTTATTCTAAGGGACTCCTATTTTGGGGACTATTCCCCCCCCCCCCCCCCCACCCCCCAATTTTATGAACCCTAAGTCGTAATCCCTTAAGAAACCAGGAAGCCCAAACCCTTAGTCACCGGTTAAGGGTTAGGGTTTAGAGTTTAGGGTTTAGGGTTTGGGGTTTAGGCTTCAGGGTTTAGCGTTTGAGGTTTAGCGTCAGGGGTTAACCCCTAAGGCCTCAACCGGAAACCCTAAAACTCCTAACCAAAATCAGCCGCGCATGCTCCAGGTTTTTGGCCTGTGGAATCAGCTGCAACCATGCCTCGATCGGCCAAAAGTGCCCATCGATTTATTCCTGGTCTACAGCAAGACCCGAGGCGGCAAGGTATAGGGTGTAGGGTTTAGCGTTTAGGGCTAGGTTTACGGATTCGGGTTATGGTTTCGGGTTTGGGGTGTAGGGTGTTGGGTGTTCGGTGTTAGGGCTTTGGGGTTGTAACTTGAGTTTCGGGTGTTTGGCTTTTTGAGTTAAGGGTTGAGGCTTAGGGCCTATTACCTCTATTCCCTCCCCCGCACCACCCACACCCCCAAACTCGCCGACACAGCCTTCAAGTACCAGGGAGAGCTGTGCCTAAAAGACATCCGAATTGAGATCCTAAAGGGCTTCGGGGTTTAGGGATTAGGGTGGCTTCCCCTTGAGCCCTAAACCCTAAACCCTCAACCCTCAACCCTCAGGAATTTCACGGAGAACCCTCCTGCTGGCCTGGCAACGGAGAACATCGCGGCTCTCTTTGAGAATGCGACTACGCAGTGGCGGAAGTGTTTCCGCTCCCTGCTCCTTGGCCCTGGGTTTGGGGTTTGGGGTTTAGGGTTTGCGTTTCGGGCTAAACCCCTAACCCTCCTAGTGTTTTGGGGCCTTGTGCCATCTTTGCCTTGGCCTCAAGAACAAGCAAGGTACATTCATGAGGCGAATCTCACTGCCACAGAGGACTGGCAGCGACGACGAGTGCTCGTGTACTCCTCCGCATGCATAGATGCATAGATCGCCCTCAACTTCCCTTTGCCCCCAAACCCGAAACCCTAAACCCCGAAACCCCTGACCCCCTGCCCCTGCACTCCTAAGTACCCTAAGCCCTAAACCCACAACACCCTAAAAAGCCTGCAAACCCCCGAAAGATCACCAAACCCCTCAACCCCAAGCTCCTAAACCTTCAGCTTCGACAGCCTGATAATCTAAGGTCGGAACCATGGGCCCTTAGTTTGATCCCTTGCCCTTGTTTCAAGGGATCCGAAGTATGGGCCCTTGATATATATATATATATGTATAATTATATATATATATACACATATACATACATATATATAGAGAGAGTATATCATGGGTTATATCACAAGGGACCCAAAGTCTGGCAGGATGTCTATGACGCACGCGGTTACACCGTGAGGAAGGACTGGGTGAATGGACCAAACCAGGTGTTTCGCTTCATCCTCCAACGGTTTCTCGATGGCAGCTTCGGTACCTATGACGCCTTTTACTTCATGGCGTCTTGGCTTTGCAACGAGCCCTAAATTGGGTTTAGGGGTTAGGGCCCTAAATCTTAAGACCCTAAACCCTCAACCCCTAAATCCCAAAGGACCAAAACCTTCAATACGGACAGGAGGGTCTCAAAGGGGGCTTAGGGGTCTTAGGGCCATGCTGAGTTTGCACTGTTGAAAGCCTCATGGGCTTTAGGTTTAGGGTTCTGGGGGAACGGGGTTGCAGTGTTTCTATAACCCTAAACCCTAAACCCTAAACCCTAAACCCTAAACCCTAAACCCTAAACCCTAAACCTTTCGGGTCTAGGGTTTTAGGATTTACGAAAAAAGTTTCGAGCTTAGGAGTTTGATGCTGCGCCGGTGCGCAGCTTCTGGCTGGAGCAGTTCGTGCAAGAGGCGCTCTACTACCCATCCGCGGCGGCCGCTGGACTTGCCATGTTCAGTAGCCCTAAACCCTAAACCCTAAATCCTAAACCCTAAGCAGTTTTTGTTTCTCTTGCCGCCGGCTTTCTGCGAGCATAAGCCCTGAACCCTGCAACCCTAACTAAACCCGAGACCCTCCTTCTTATTCTCAAAGCGCGGCTTCCAAAATCCCTGGAACCGTAGAAAAGACCGCAAGCTCTAAACTCGGAATTTTTGAAAACACCCCCGAAAGCCCTGGAGCCCTCGCAAACCACAAAAAACCACCCGAATTAGGGAATAGGGTTTAGGCTTTCCTCGAATCCCAGATCTCCAAGGTTCGTGGAAGCCACTACCGTGGGGATTCCTGGGACCCGTTCTTACGGCAGCTGCCCCAAGACCTCCTGGCGCACATCAACGGCCTCTCGGCTGGGTGGTTTAGGGTTTAGGGTTTAGGGTTTAGGGTTTAGGGTTTAGGGTTTAGGGTTTAGGGTTTAGGGTTTAGGGTTTAGGGTTTAGGGTTTACGGAC